GGTGGCACGTGCCCTATTGCAAAAAAAAAAAAAAAGATAAGTGCTGTGGGGCTGTGGAATGTAAATTGGAATGTAAATTGGCCCAGACACTGTGGAGAACAATATAGAGGTTCCTCAAGGACCTGCAAATACAACTACCACATGATACAGCAATTTCACTCCTGGATATCTACCCAAATGATAGGAGAATGCTCAATCAGAAAAGTGCTTGCACATCTGTTTATTGTTGCATTATTCACAATTGTTAAGACATGGAACGAACCCAAATGTTGATGAACAGATGAATGGACTGAATAAGTGTGGTACATGTAATCTATGGAATACAACTCAGCCCTAAAAAAATGGAAAAAGATCTTTACATTTTGATAGAAAGTGGATTAATATGTAAGATTTACTGTTGAGTAAAGCAAACCGAGCTATGAGAGAGAGACATTGTATGTCTCCACTTAACATATACACTCCATTTCTGCCAGAGTTACTTCTGCACTCTATGGCAGAAATCAAAAGATTAAAGGATATAGAAGCATGCAAAATAGTTTAGGATACTGAAGACAGTGAGGGAAGAGGGCGGGAGAAAAAAAAATTAAGGAGAAAAATAGAAATTTGTGGGACACAGATGTGGATTATTATCTGTTGATAACATGTATAAATCTTCAACTGGTCTGGTGTGATGTGTATTTATAATGGATAAGTTTGCTTTACAACTAAGTGATATATAAGGATTGAATATAAAATTTAATAAAATAATAACATTTAAATAAACAAAAAAGAGAAATTATGGGGAAAAAAATACCAGACTCTAACCTTGGACCTCATCCTTGATACATAAAGTCTGATCTAGATCAGTGTAGATGCTATAAACATAATTACAAATGCATATGCCTAGTTTTACCCAAGATTTGTCAAAATATAATCTGCATTTAAATAAGATTCCCAGATGATTCATATACATGTGGATATTGGAGATATTCTGTTCTAGAGAAGTCTCTCAGCCTCCTCAGTGTTAACATCCTGGTTGGATGATTGTGGTGTAAGCTTTGCTTTGCATTATAATATGTCAAACACTATCTTTGGCCTCAACTCACTGGGTTCTACCAGTAGCATCTCCCCAATTATGAGAACAAAAATTTCCTCACTGTCTACTGGAGGCTTATTTGCCCTGTCTGGGTACCACTAACCTGGAGCAGAAGGCCTATCAACATCTTGATTGGATTCTCACCAAATCTCATCCCTTGGTCAGTTCATAATTGTCTTCTTATGATTAGTCAAACCTTCTGAGTCTCATTTATGCAACTAAGAAAAGAGTTCCTAATAGCACTGAAGTCATTTATGGGACAAAGAAATGGATTATTATCGATTGAAGATAACTTTATAGTATTGTCAACTAGACTGGTAAGAAATGTGCACATGTTGAAATATTCACTTTGTAAGCTAAGTAACATGAGATTGAATGTATAAAAGAAATTGAAATAAAGATAAATAAAAAAATTTTAAAATTAAATGATACCCATATAACATTTTTGTTTTTGTTGGTGTGCTTTGTTTTGTTATGCTATAGGCCATATGCATTCATTTCAGAAGGATAGTGAGAAACAGCGAGAAAGGGAAAACAAAAAAATCACCTCCCATGGTAAAATTCCCCTCTTTCATTCTTGTCTTTGAATTTGGGGCATTAACACACACACACACACACACACACACACACACACACACTCTTACCATGTTTTCCAAATGACTGGGTCTGGGACTTGAACTACACTGTTAGCTATGTAAGTTTCAGCTGCCTTAACCACCAGGCCACCTGACTGACACAGTTAATATAACATTCTAACATCAGTTCATGGGACTTAAATGTTCTAAGCATACTTCTTATCATTATTAAATGTTTTCCAAATGGAGGACTAATTTCAACTGTTAAGTTGTGTTAGAGGCTGCAAATTCCTAGCTGCTTTGTCATAAGCACCAAAAGTTCATCACTGTCATAACTACTCAAGGTTGTATAACAGATGAACACTGTCCTCTGACTTAATGAAAAGTAATAGCAATTTTCTGAAAATAGCAGAAGCTGTATCTACACAACAAGTCAATGTTTTGATTTTCAAACAGAACTAACAAAGATGGGTACCTCAGACTTTGGGGAAAATTTTGATTTTGCAGAACTGCTAATAAGGCGAGAACTCTGTAGACAACAGGGTCCCCAGAGAAGGAATAATAAAGACTGCACTCACCTGACCCTATCCTGTTCTCTTGGGAACAGAGAATCAACAGAAGATTTTCTTTTCTGGCCAGATGGTGTCCCACAGTGAAATCAGGTCCTCAGGGATTGTAATCATGATAGGGAACTATGCCAAATGAGCAGATATAGGGAGATGTAAGAATCTATTTTGTTATTGTCCATCATGGTGTGTAGCCTTGAGTTAGATGAGAAGTTGATGTCCTAAGTCTGGTTACAGTGTTGATGTTTGACACTGTGCTGCTGTCTTGTCTGGGGACCACACTTCAGTCTCCATCATCAAACATCCAGGGAGCAGTTCAGACCCTCACATGGATTCTTTCTCAGAGACCCCATCCAGGTGAGTCTTAGAGCCCAGTAAGTACTCCAAAGTTTGGATATTGAAAATGTTCAATGGCCAACTTGTCTGTCATTAGTGCTGGTCACCATCATGAAAAAGCAAGCACCCATGAACACTCTCTGCTATCTACATTATTTCATGTTATTCAAAGTATTTGTTAATATCTCAGACATTACATGATTCTTTTTTCAAAGGTATGGAGGAAATATTATTTAGCTTTGAGAGGCTTGGTATTCCCAATAAACATATCCTTGGCATAGAAAGGTCCAATTAAAGTTCTGAAAATTACTTAATAAGATAAATATTTAGGTTGATTTTTATAAGGATTTCAGACAGTAAATATGAAAAAGTTCATCGTTACAAGGATTTGCATATATGATCAGTCTAAATGAAAAAATAAAGCAAAGAATAAAGTTCAACACCCCTGAAAACATAAGTTGCAATTTCTAATGAAACACTTATTCTTATTCTATTATTTCTTTATTGCTCATATTTCCTACTTATCAATGGATTCTGAATATTTTAGTTCTCAAAGATTTACACTCATTTCTCAGACATTGCCTGGAACATGGGGCAGTTCTCAAATTGTGTTATTCAATTGTGTGAAATAATTTCTCAGTAAAATTGTAGAATTCATGACCTCTTGAGGAAAGATTGACATTGAGACAATAATTTCTCATTGGAGATAGCCTTAAGGGAGTAAAATAGGAAGTGGATAAATACTATACACAATATATGTATATCAATTTATTCACTAAAAAACATAAATTGTAGTATTTTATTATAACTGAGTAATGCCCTTTTGAGTGAAAGTTAGTCGTTTTATCTTTCCCTTTCCTGATAGTCACCTCTACCACATTGAACCAGGAAATGATACAAGAATTTTAGAATTTCTTCTTCTGGGATTATCAGAGGAATCAGAATTGCAGCCCCTCATATTTGGGCTTTTCCTCTCCATGTACCTGATCACTGTGACTGGAAACCTGCTCATCATCCTGGCCACCATCTCAGACTCCCACCTCCACACACCCATGTACTTCTTCCTCTCCAACCTATCTGTGGTAGACATCTGTCTCATCTCTACCACCATCCCAAAGATGCTGGTGAACATCCAGACACAGAGCAAAGTCATTACCTATGCAGGCTGCATCACCCAGATGAACTTTTTCATACTCTTTATAGGATTGGATGGCTTTCTTCTGACTGTGATGGCCTATGACCGGTATGTGGCCATTTGTCACCCCCTACACTATACTGTTATCATGAACCCCCAGCTCTGTGTGTCACTGGCTTTGGCATCCTGGTTCCTGACCACCCTACATTCCTTGTTACAAAGTTCAATGGCATTGAGGTTGTCCTTCTGTACACACACCCAAATTCCCCACTTATTCTGTGAACTTAATCAGGTGGTCCACCTTGCCTGTTCTGACACCTTTATTAATGATATTGTCATGTATTTTGGAGCCATACTGGTGGGTGGTGGAACCCTCACTGGAATCCTCTACTCTTATTGTAAGATAGTTTCCTCCATACATAAAATCTCATCAGCACAAGGGAAATATAAAGCCTTTTCCACCTGTGCTTCTCACCTCTCTGTTGTCTCCTTGTTTTATTGTACTTGTCTAGGAGTGTACCTTAGTGCTGCTAACAATCAAAATTCACACCCAAGTGCAACAACTTCAGTGATGTATGCTGTGGTCACACCCATGCTGAACCCCTTCATCTATAGTCTGAGGAATAAAGACTTAAAGAGGGCTCTGACTGACTTATTGGGAAGTAAACCATCACAGAATAAATTGTGGTAAAGAAAAATTGTCCTTGTTAGTAGAGCTCAGAGCACTATACCCAGAAATGGTGATAATCTGATCATATTATGGAAGTAGGACTTGTTCCTTCTAATGATTTCCAGTAACTTCCATGACTTTGACTTCAACTTCTTAAAAACTGAAAGAACATCATCTTATTAAGCTTTGTGCCCTATCTAATAGCAAGTTTTCCCTTTGTTCATTTTTGTATTTTCTTTATTATTATTATTAATACATTAAATTGCTAAATATTATTTAGATTGTGAAGAGACTTTACTCATGAAGAGACTTTACTCAGCATGATATACATCTCAGTCTAGCCCAGTTGAAACCAGCATACAGATCCTTGTCAACAGATAATAAACCTTTTGTAAGTTTATTCAAACCATAGGACATAAATACTTGCAAATCCCTTTTTATTTCATGGGACAGCATGGATTTCTAAGAGTAATTGGAAAATCATTTGTTGAAGATAGTAGGTATGTTAATATCTCTGATTGGGCTAATATTCAGTGTATTCTGCATGGGAAAATTCATTTTGTATGCTGCAATGATATTCAGTAAATAAATAATTTTTAAAATTGCATCTCAAATGATATATATATAAAGAATTTTCCTTTCCTTTTATTAAAAAAAAAAATCATGTGCTGTTCTTTCATTACACTTGGAAGAGAACCGGGGGGGGGGGGGGGCTCGTGGGAGGAGACCGGGGGGGGGGGAGTATTTAAGAGGCACAAAGAATACATTATCTGTCTATGATAATGTGTATGATTATATCTTTGGACTAATGTATAGTGTATTCATGTTGGAAAAATTCACTTTGAATAATGTAATGATATACAGTGACTGAATGTAAAGTATAATTAAAAAGAAAAATCCTTATTAGTAAAGATGTATATATATATGCATGTGTATGTATATACATATAAATATATTTATAATACATAGGTATTTATATATATACATATACTTGGTAACCGTGGTTAATTACATGATTGTATAATATAAGAAAATCTTCAGTGTATTCTGGATGAAAAAATGTATTTTGTATGCTGTAATGATATACAGTTGATATACAGTGAATTAATGTAAAATAAAAATGAATAAATAAATGAAAGAAATAAAAACTATATAAAAAAGAAATGAATGGCAGAGAGATATAAAGTTTAAAAAATTAGACATCAGAATCTTTCCATTTTTTGTACACTTATTAATTTTTCCTAATGTATAGTTTAACACATCAATTTGGTTTCTAATTTTTCTTTCTGTTTTCTTCTCATATTTATAATCCCATTTCTTCTTGAGGCCAGTGTCCACAGTGTCTATGTAGTCACTGGCAAAAATCAATGACTATTCAGACTCCTACCTGCACATACCCATGGACTTCTTCCTGCCCATTTCGTCCTTTGTAGATGTGTGTTTCACCTCTCCCAGTATACTAAAGATGCTGATGAATATACAGACACAGAGCAAGGTCATGACTTAATGAGGGCTGCATCATGCAGATGTACTTTTTGGTACTCATTACAGGGTTGGATGACATTCTCCTCACCATAATAGCCTCTGAACACTTTGGGACCTTCTGTCATCCCTGCATTATACATCATAATTCCCTGCCTCTGTGGACTTCTGGTCTAGTTCTCTCTGCTCATGAGTTTTATTATCATTACATAATTTATGGTTTTGTTGTTGTTTATCTGTACTAACTTAAAACTTCCACTGTTTCTGCATATTTATAACACTGGCCCATAATCCCTGTTGGAATACCTGTCTCTCTCTTTCTCTCTTAATGTTGTTTTGCATTGGTGTGTACACTCACTGGAGAGAGACAGAATGAGGGAAAGTGAGAAATTAACCCCCAGGGGGTATGACCAAACCACAATCCCTTCTCTTCCATTCTCCTCTCAAGAGTTTTGGGCACAAAAGCACATGTTCCTGACATGATTTTCAAGCTAACAGGTCCAGGCTTCACACTGCAGGGCTACCTGGCACCTTAATCAGCACACTACCTGCTGGTCCTGGACACCTTTCTTAATGGTATGATGATGAGTTTTGTATCTGTGCAGGTGGGTGGTAGAAATTTTCTGGGCTCTCTACTCTTACTCTGATTTAGTTTTCTTCGTGTGTACAATCTCAGTAACTCACGGAATGTATAAACCCTTTCCCAACTGTACTTCTCACCTCTCAGTTGTCTCCTTATTTTATTGCATAATTAAATAGAAACAGGAAGAGAAAAGGCTAGAAAGCATCTCACAGGGGGATGGCCACACTGCAATGTCTTCACTTTTATTCTCCTCTTGGGATTCTGGGCACACATGCACCTATGCCCAGTGTGATTTTCAAGCCATCTGGTCTGGGACTTGAACCACACAGTTGGCCATGTGGTATCCAGCCACCTTAACCATCACTCTACCTGATAACCTTCAATCTGTACTTTGGTGAGTCATCTTAGTCCTATGGAATAAATTACACTTGGCAACTGTAAAGTTATTGATACAATTTAATTGTTGAAAAAAATCTGAAACACAGTGTTTTCCTTTTTGCATCCATCTTTCACATCTAGATCACTCAACTGCTCTTCCTGATAATATAGACTTTAGCATACTGGTAGGTTTTCTAGTTGGTCATGGGAATTTACAGTCTGAAGCTCTTTTTCAGCTCAGTATCCATAGTCCTTATGATATTCGTTACCAAAGAATAGTACAACAAAATTAGCTTATCAATTCATACTCTGAGTGTAGTCTACACATACTGTCATATGTATTAATTAACTGACTTAACATGGTCTGAGAATCAGAGATGACCTCAAATGTGACAGAGTAACATTTTCAGTGATATATTGCATTACTCTAGGGAATTTTTTCACTACGAGATACATCTACCCATTGAAGTGTAGAATCTTGGGGTCCACTTGTAAGTTTATTCATTTGAATAAAATATGTGGTGTCATAGTCTATGGTATTTTATTGTATTATCTTGCTATTTCTTTTTAAACATTTCCAGTGCTGGCTACAAATATGCCTATTTCTGTAACAAATAAAAAATTTTATAGGTGTAAAATATTTTTCAAAACATTAAGATATAGTATCTGTATTGACTACATCAATTTCTGCATATCTTTATTTTTTAAATTTTTTTTGGAGAGGTTTTTGCTATAGGGCATGTGCACTCACCAGATAGAGACAGACAGAGAGACAGAAAGCAAGAAATCACTCCCGGGGGGTGATGGACACGCTGCAATCCCTTCTCCTCCATTCTCCTCTCAGGATCCTGGGCACACACGCACACAAACCCAGCATAAGTTTTAAGCCACCAGATCTGGGATTCGAACTGTGGTCAACTACATGGGAGTCCAGTGACATAGCCATTACGCTAACTGCTGGTCACCAATTTCTTCATATCTTTATAATCCAAGATATCTCCATCATCAATTTCTTTATATAGAGCCTGGATATTTGGTATATATTATAAGTCATAGCCTGACTTGCTTCACTCAGCAATAAATCTTCCATATTCATCCACTTTCTATAAAATACCAGGATCTTGTTTTTTTTTTTTTTTTTTTAGTGACTGAATATTATTCCATAGAGTGTATGTGCCACACTTTTCCACTCATGCGTAGGCTTTTCATAATTTTCATTTTTCAGAATCTTTTGAAGACTCCTCACATATATACTTTTGCCCTCTCCTGGTAACCTAGAAAGAACACCATAGTTTTTAAAGATGCAGTTATCTAAAATTAATAATTCTTTCTAACTGAATTATTATCAAGACCCAGATCCAGGTGTAGAGAATTACAGCTATCCTAAAACCAATAATGGAGTTAATAAATACATATTTCTCTCTTACCATGGGGAGAAATAGACAAGCAAAGATTTTATATAACTCTTGATAATAAACATGTATGAATTATATGCCATAGACTTGAAACAAGGAAGACAAGATTCTTCTAAGAGTTGAGTTTCTTCAAGAGTTGGAAGAATAATTATATGCCCCAAGAAATAGCAGCTTTACAGATAGTCCCAAAGTAGAACACAGAACAGCTTAAAGGACTAAACTGTCCTTTTTAATTTTTAATTTTAATTTTTAAAATTTTATACATTCAATCACTATACATCACTTAGTTGTAAAGTGAACTTTCCCAACATGAATACACTTCATATCAGTCCAGTTGAGGACACGTGTGTGTGCTTGCCCAAAATATCGGGAAATGAATGGAGGCAGGAGGATTGAAGCATGACCATCGCCCTGGGGGAGTGATTTCTTACTTTCCCTCTCACTGTCTCTCTGTGGCTCCAGCGAGCACATGTACCCTATGACAAAAACTTTTAAAAATAGAAAAGAGAAAAGAGGCATTACAACTGATACCACAGAAATACAAATGTCATAGAGATTATTATGAACAATCAACTGGCAACAAATTGGAAAACCTAGAAGAAATACAGAAATTTCTAGACACCTGGCCCCTGTGGTTAAAAAACATGCCAACTATGTGCATGCTTTTCAAAAGTCCTGACAGTATGGAGAAATGAAGGAAAAGGAATTGTTATGTGACCATATTCCATTTAATCACATCTCTTGTAATTCACAAATATTTTATACATAAAGGATTAAATTACAACTTAACCTTGTTACAATTTTTTTTTTTGAGGTTTTTGCCATAGGACATGTACACTCACCAGAGAGAAACAGAGAGAGGGAAAGTGAGAAATCATCCCCAGGGGGGATATCCACACCACAGTCTTTTCTCCATTCTCCTGTTGGAGATTTTGGGTACACACACACAAGCACACAGTTTTGAGGCACTAGATCTGGGATTCAAACAACAGTCAGTCATGTGGGAGTCCAGTACCTCAACTGCATGACCACCTGCTGTTCCTATAAGTATAAACTTTTACATTGTATTTGAAAAATTATAATGAAGCCAAATGTAGTACCCATGGTTTTTATATTAATGGAACAGAGTTGTAGAATATGGTACCCCTGGTACTGTGCTAAGG